TTATTTCAGGAAAGTATGGGTAAATCAGATGACATAATTGCCTTTGAAGCTCTGACCAATCACACTCGCTGTAATGACAGCTTTGTTCTGGATTTATTCCAAGCACAGTATCGCTCCTCACTCAAATGCCCTAGGTGCAACCAACAGTCAACCACATTTGATCCATTCCTGTGCCTCTCATTACCCATTCCTCAGAGAGAAACTCGACCCATCATTGTCACGACCGTCTTCGTACATTCAACTAGAGTACCAATGCGCATTGGAGTTAGCGTACCTTTAAATGGAACTATCGCTGATTTGCGAAATGTTGTGTCCGACATGACAGGAATTAAAGAGGAATCTTTGATTCTCACAGAACTCTACTATGATGGTTTTCATAGAACATTTCATGATAAGCAGTCATTGAGTGTTGTTCATGAAGGGGACAATATTTATGCCTTTGAATCACCCAGTCAGCTTTTTCCTGAAATGGACACTGGAGAGGCACAAAGCCCTGTGATGTCAGCAGACAATGATGGCCCCATTCAAGACACCATTGTGATTCTTGTGTCAAACTGTGAGGGACCTAGTAAAACTACATCAAGTAAAAGGTAAAATTCCTGCCCTAAAATGTTTTTAAGGTAGAGGATTCAAAAGTTAGTAGTAAGCATATCGGCAGCTTGTCTGGTTATCAGAATAATTTGCCTTTGCATTAACAAACATGTGGCCAGTCACAGAAATTCAGCATTTAATTGAAAATGGAGATGCTTTTATCAGTGGAAATCCCCCTTGACTGGGATAATGTTGATGTTAACAGTTACTGTAGTCAAATCCATATCAAGTATTCACCCTACAGGAAATGACCAACTGACTGCTTACCACAGCTGGGTTGACCATTCAAAAGAGGTGAATTAACAGCAATGTTTCGGTCATTGTCATGGAAGCAGAAGTAAGAGACCAATTTTGAAGGGATTTTGCTTCTGCCTTATTTTCCACGTGACTTAAAAGACAATGACAATAAAAACAAGTCAGTCACCACTCATTAGATCTAGGGTGACTAAGATTTCAAAGTGCTAGATGTATGAAATTATTAGGCAGAGTATTGAACAGCTAGGAATTTCTTTTGGTTTTATTTTCCTTTTCTTTCCTATGAAAGTAGCCAGGGATAAAATATGCTCATAGCAGCTGGGAGAAATCCCCTGCACCCAGCCCTGAGGGATAGCCTTGGTAAGTGCTAAGCTCTGCATACAGGATACCCACAATTAAAGAGATGAGCATCCATGATACAATCCAGCCTGCATTCCAGATGTAACCTAACCCTGACTGGTGACCTTTGCGAAGCAGTCCCAAGATCTTTGTTCTAAGCACCCTAATAGACTATTGTATTTAACCGGAAGTACATTTTGAATTATTTTCCCTAAACCCTGACTGGCCAGTTTTTTAACAGGCCAATCATCGCTAGCTGACAGCTAGGTGGACTTAACCAGAGGTTTAGTTTCATCTCCATGGTGTAGACTAGATACTGTCTGCATCACAAGTTATATTTTTCCTTATTCTTTTTTTTTCAGATTTGGTCTTCCATTCATTGTAAGAGTTCTTAGAGAACTTAGTTATGAGAATCTTCAAGCAGCAATCTTGAAAGCCATGTCGAGGATTCTTTTAGACAACGTATCATCACAGGTAAGGTTCATTCAGTTATTAAGAGGAAAA